TAACTAACTCATTTGAAAAAAAAAATGACTTCCAAATAAGATTGAGGTCAAATCCTATTGCATTATTGCACGGTGTTTTCCTTATTTTTAAATACTTCTATCAAAGATTTTGTGTTGCATTGGTGGAAGACTTTTGGTTCAGCAATGAGTTTTGATTAATCGAAATTAATTAAGTATTTCCTAATGTGAACCCGTTTTTCAACTTCCTTTCGACGACAATAGCCTTCTCTTTCCTCTACTTTAATTGTAAGATATTACTTTAAATGAAGCACGAGTACAAGAACAAAGAATGGATTAAATATCATGACTGTAGTGGTCTTGTATCGTATCCTTCCCTTTCTTAAGTTTATTTGAAAGTTTGTTCACTGACTTATAAGTTGGTGTAATTTCATTCCGTTTTAAAACAGTCCCTAATCTGCTTGTTATCATTAGGTAGAAGGGTATTGTTAGATAAAGGCCATCACTTAAGATGTCTGCAGTTATTCGTTTCACTTTGTTATTATTGTTCAAACTCAATCCTATTTGGAAGTTGTACTTTTCTAATTAGTTAGTGAACGTACTAAACACTGTAGCCATAGATATTTACCTGGAAGTTTAAACTCGATTCCTCGAGAATGACAAACTAGGCCTATCGAATTTAATCGTTCTTTTATATATTATTAATTCTTTAGACTTTCGTGCTTATTTATTATACTGAAGTGTTTTTTTTTTTATGAATTTGCTCAAAATACTTTAAATATTTCGAAAATTGTATTATGAAAACATCATCCAGCTTTATCTTTGTTTAACGGCAAACATAAATGTTAACTACTTTAAAATACATTGCTTTTAAATACATGTTTCTTAAATGTATACGTGTCTGAAATCTAATACTGTACTAGTTTAGATCCTTTAATACAAATATGATCGCGTGCAGTGATTTCGCAGATCATATTACACCATATATTTTTTATATTTTCCAAACCCATTTGGTGGTGGCATCTATTGGTCAAGAATAGTATTAAAACTTAGGGTGTCAATTACTGAGAACAATTTACTAAATTGAGTGTTTTTGAATATTATGTGTTAGATATACATGACTGTTTCATTGTAAGTTTAATGTTAGCATTATGATCTAGATAATTTATATAGCACGAGTATTAAAGTTAAGATATTTTTAGAAGCAACAGTTATGTCAAGTGTGTTTTGAATCATTCGTTGTGTAGTTCAGTTATTGTGAAATGACGTCAGATTACTCGAACCTTCTAAAATTTTCGCGTTGCTTTAAATGAGTATTGCTCCACTTTAATATCTCGTAGTGCTTAGAAAGTTCTAGGCCTGGTCAGGCTATAAATACGCGTACAAAATCTAATACAAGTAAAGTAAGACAAATTTAGTTAGATATATAGTTAGATCTAGACTGTGTGATTGCAAATTTAGCCACAAAGAGTATATAGTGGCAATTTTTTAAAAGTGAAATGATCACAGTCTGTGTTGTAACAACAGAGTAGAGAAGAATAATTCGTCTTGTCAATTGTGTTCTACAGTAACTGAACCAGCCTGTGTGGACTTTTGACGAAAAGAAACAATTATTTAAAGCTCTGGATACATCTCTAGTAATCAACAGTATAAAGAACATTTGTATACACGTTTGACTTGTTTTAATATATTATTTTAAAACAAGCGTACTGTGTGCTGTTTGTTTATTGTTGAAATTGATCGCCAACAAATCACAGACACTTACTGTAAAGAATCCGGCCCACACATACGTAAAACCCCGACATTATGAAAACATTTTGTGGGTTTCTAGAATACTAAATACCATTAAATCTTGTTTATCGTAGGTTATTGGACAGAAAGAAAAAATATCAAGTGTATCATAGATAATTAACTTGTTCATTTTCACGCACATTTCTCTAAATTCGCCTAAGATTGACACGTTAATTAGACTTACTAACATAACCTAACTGGTACTGAAATAAGCGTTTCTTTGTGTGACATGGCTCGTAGTATTATGTATGTATATTATTCGTTAATTCCAAATATGATGCTCTACTTGGAAAAAATTAACAGTTTTTAATGTTGTGGCATGTAAGACACAGTTATTTTTTTTTATTTTTGTTGGTGGTGGTTTTGGCGTTTCATTAATAAAAATGTTCCTCTTTTTGTTCTCATAATTTGTCATAAAAATAACGTTTTTACAGAAAGATAGAGGGCGAGGGTTTTGTTTTGTCTTTATTTTTAGCTCAAAGCTACACACTGTGCTATCTGCGCTCTGTCCACCGCGGATAATCAAACCCGAGATTTTAGAATTGGAAGTTCGTAAACTTACTGCTAGAGGGATAAAGAAAAGCGATGAAATATACTAATAAATATGTTGTAGAATGAGTTATAATTTGAAATAACAATTGTACAATTTTAACGAAAAAAAATATTATTTTAAATTATTTGTACTGTCACGTGTTAAATCTATTAAGGCTCCACTGTAAATAAATATTGGTCTAAAGAATTTGAAACTTGTGTGTTTTATAGTGCATAGTTCGTTATTATTCCTGGTTTAATTCACAGATTGCTGGAAACAAAATTCAAGTTAATGTAAGTAAGTCTCTCCTAGAAACGATTTGCTTATTTATTGTTAAGTGCAAAACTACACAATGGGTTATCTGTGATCTGCCCACAGCAGGTATCGAAACCCGATTTTGAAGTTATACTTGATACACTGAAAACAACAACAACACAGTCCGAGAAACAATGTACAAACTATGGCTAATCTGTTTACAGGTCTTGTGGACAGCAGGTTCGAATCACCGTCGCGTAACATGCTCTTCTTTTCAGCTACTGGGGCGTTATAATGCGATGGTCAATCCTACTATTCGTTGGTAAAAGAGTAGCCTAAGAGTTGGCGGTGGGTGGTGTTTTTTACAGAGAAGGAGAGCTGTAGTAAGGAAATTCTACTTTAAAATTCAGCTCAGACTAATATATATAGACTCAGCCTCCTCATTAAACATCTATTTCAATATAAAGATCAACTATGTACACTACGTTCATGGCTCGTGTATAAATATACGTGTAGTGACTGTAAGGTTAAATACAATGGCAAAACAAAACGCCACTTAAAAACTAGAGTCTGTGAACATCTAGGAGTATCTAACAGAACCGGCTATCCACTACTTAAACCCAGCCACTCGTTCATTCGTTCACTTGTTGAAACCACAGATCACAATATTTCATTTAATGATTTCTCTATCATTACCACAGGATCTTCAGACCTTGAACTCCGTATCAAATGAAGTTTACTTATAGGAATATACCATCCTTATATTATTCTAAACTCATCTGCTAGGACCCACTCAATGCTGTTGATATTTCCAGTGGAAATTTCTTGGCCTAACTTATCCATAACCGATTTCTTCGCCGTCTCTCTCAAACGATAATATAGTGGGTGAAATGTGATTGGGGTTGCTCTGAGTAGGACTTGATTGACCAGGATCCTTTGTCTTGTAGTACTAATACTCAAACCAGTCAAAGTGCGGGTCTCACAGAATGTTGGTTTGGCTGTTCCTACTGATATTTTCATGGCTGCATCCTTTATAATTTCGTCATTGCTGACTTTACTACTGATGAATACGAGTGGATGCCATATCCATTCTGGTCATGACTGTTGCTCTCATCAGATTGACGAGGCTTCTTCTGTGGTGCAGCATATTTTAAAAGGGTTAGACTCTTCATTGATTTTTCTCTCAGATGATTAATATATGCAGAAATTGTCATCCGTGAGTTCATCACAACACCCAGGAAAGTGACAAAGATCTTATATGAAACTTTTCTGTCAGCATACGTCAGTGTTAAGGAAGAGGTGTCTGTTCAGGATCTGATAGCCAACATCAAACAGGCTTTACCTGGTTGAGAGGGCCTGGCATGGCCAGGTGGTTAGGACGCTCTACTCGCAATCTGCGGGTCGCGGGTTCGCATCCCCGTCACACCAAACATACCCGCCCTTTCAGCCATGGGGGCGTTATAATGTTATGGTCAATCCCACTATTCGTTGGTAAAAGAGTAGCCCAAGGGTTGGCGGTGGGCGGTGATGACTAGCTGCCTTCCCTCTAGTGTTACACTGTTAAATTATGGATAGCTAGCGCAGATAGCCCTCGTGTAGCTTTGCGCGAAATTCAAAAAACAAACAAACAAACAAACCTGGTTGAGAGGGCATTTCGTTATCTATAATCCACTGGTAGAGACTTTGGCTCTTATAGACCATCCACCGATGTGGTGTGCAAGGTGCTTGCAACAGTTATATCATGAAAATATATATGGTATCCAGCCAGATAGGGCTCCATGTTTTAAAGTACCCTGTAATGATAATTCTTGTACCCATATTCTACTGAGCATGAATTGAGCATCTTGTAAAATGTTTGTGTCAGTGGAATGGGTTATACATATTCATACTGTTGTCGAAAGGGGTTCTTTTGGAATATTCGGTAAAGAAATAATACTTAACTATAAATAACGCGGAAACGTTTTATTTCTTGACCTCCAAGCTCTACAATTTAAGTAGTCCTAACTTAACAAATAACTACCTTACTTCATCCATATCTCTAGTACTCCGATGAAACACAGTTTTAAAACTTACAAACTGAATAACACACTCACTAACTCGATAATCAACCAACAAATTAATACTACTAGTCAACATAAATAAAAGAGTCCAAATTACAAACACAAACATAGCCTACAACAATACCCTTACATAATAATCGAATATTTTCGAATCATTAAAATTACAGATTCTTTTCAATGAAAAATTTAAAATATTTATTTTTGCTTTTGATTGTATCTTTAGGATCATATTTGTCCTCATCTTAAACAAAGTTGTGTAATGGATTTCAGTAATTTACATTCAAAGTGAAGACAAACGAAGCACTTGTCAGATTTTTATCAAGTTATATATTAGAAAAAAATGAAACAGCAGATGTCGCGACTAGTAATACAATAGTGTTTGGTCTTAGTTTGTACAGACGTAAATGTACATTAAAACAGTGAGGAACAGCTGTTGTCAGAAAAGCATATCTAAGAACAGGCGATACTGATATTATTATTAATCGTCAACAGTTTTATAATATACGCTTAGATTATTAGCATTTAGTTGTTATATATTTAAGATGGAGTATAGGTTCTCCTTCGCAATATTGTTGTTGTTTTTTATAAGTACGAATGATTGTTTGAGGGCTGAATGGCGTCGATCAGTTGAAACTAGTTTTATCGAAAGCAACATGAACACGACGACTGACGTTACCAGCAATCTAAACTACACCATAGCAGACGAAGATATCAGTAAGTCAGTAGTAAACAAAACAACTGCAGAAGCTACAGATAACATTTCATTTCCAGAAGGTAAGATATGGTAATTTAAACATACTGAACTAAGAAACTTTTCTGAACGTCTGGGCGACCTCATTAATAATAGTACTGTTTATGAATGGTATTTTTGAATACTAAAAAAAATTGCTCGTGGACTTATTTAAGAGTTTGGCTTTATTATTGGTAAATAAAAAATAAAACTAGAGACAACTACTTTGAAATTGAAGAAATGATGTTTTATTTAATATTATCAAAATGTTTACTATGGGAATTTTTAATTACAGTTTTTTTTATGGAGGAAATATAGAAATAACAGTACACAAAGTTTGAATATTTGTAAAAATCCAGTAAAGAAGTAGATGAATTCCGGGGGGCTGAAGTCCTTTAAAAATAGAAAAACAATAGATTAATTGTAATAATTGGTGGTGGTAGAAGATGTTTTGAAATTTACTTAGATGTTGAAAATGGAAGAACCAATCAAACCTTCTAATTTTCTCAACACCTTCACTTTGTACTAACCACGTAACAAAAAAATGGCATATTGGAACGACACTTCGAGAAAATACGAAAGAAACTAAATAGGCCCTGAACTGGAATTGCAACTCTGACATTGTGACACTGCTGATCAGAAAACTAGTATCACTCTCCCACTTTGGTTGTTAATAGGGGGGGGGGGATAGTTGAAGAAAAACAAGTCACGGTCTTTTGTGGCTTTGAGAACAACCCAAATCAAGAAGACGTTTGAAGAAGTGTCAACTTGTAAAAAAAAAAATGTAATACACCATTCTGTAATATGCAGTAGCTTACTAGCACTTATCATGAATATAATGATCAAATCTATTAATCATTAATTATTTATCATAAAACCTTTTGTATGGTGCCATAAGAAACACTCTTTATTACTGTATGTTTAATCTCTGTGTGTATAATTATTTAGCTAAAAGCAGTAATACTGGAAGAAAATAGTATAAATATTGAACGTATAAAACACAAAAATTGTGATAGCTACATAAATTATTTCAAAACACTATCGAACTGATAGCATGTCAAAAAACTGATGAATGGGGATTGTAAACAGACCATACATTGGGCAAGCAACAAGTTGTTTACATCATATCATTGGGCATAAACAGACAGTATGTTGTCCTGACATGATGTAGAATGAGTAGAGGTTATTACTGGTACATATCTATGAATCTCAGTATTTCAAGTTTACAATGAATGTGATTACAAAATCTCTCCTATACTGCCATAGGTATGCTCGTACTTTATTATTAATATTTGATCGTTAACAGTTTTTATTTCACTTATCCATTCAATATGAATTCACATGTACGAGTTTGAAACTGATGGATTTTATTGGGACTACATTTTATCTTGCCGTGACACGGGTTTCACCCAGTCTCGGGTTACCAAGTAGATTGATAATGTGATATCAGTTGCTGACATTTTGTTAACGTTGTTAAAATGGGAAGGTCAAGGTCACGGGGTGTGAAAGGTCGATATACAGGTACGATTTTTAATTGTTTGTCATTAATTATTAAGTACGTAATTCTACTTGCAGTGTTAATCTACTCATTTGTGATTGTGGAATCTAATAGTGTGTGAAGTTTTTTATTTTAATTATTTAAAAATCACAGAGAACCCTTATTTGTAGATGTAGGCAAAAAAAGAAAGCTGTGTTAGAATAATGCTGTTATAAAAAAAAGTGGTTGATAGGTCAACACATTAAAAAATTGTTATAACATATTACAATACAGTTGTTCACTGTATTACTACATTATGTAAGGTACCTAATGAATATGCAAAAAACATCTCTACAAGCATGTAGGCTGTCTGATGAACTACAAAATCTAAATATTTGGAACAAAAACATCTAAAAATGTAGGATCAGTTGAGTTACTGTTAACACCTTTTTTTTCTGTAAGTTTTTAACTTCTTTTAATCTAATGTTGACATTAGATGAGAAATTAGTTAAACATTTCAGTTAAAATAAAGGTCATGGTAGTTGTTAACCAGTAACAGTACAAGCTACTTTTACAATTATAAACCAACAAGAAATATATTTCATTTGATTAGTCTAAGATTAAAATTATCACATATCTGTAAACTTTTTAAATTTCCAAATAAATAGCATTTGAAATTTTTTGGGGGTTACTATTAACAGGAATGCCCTTGACCCGTGGTCGGCTACAACTGAACATCGCATCTTATTTTCATAAGAATACAAAAGTCATTTAACATTCTGTGTTGTAATGTCATTACTAACCCATGAACCTAGACTGATGCTTAACCATTTGTATTGAAATTTAACATAACATAATGTTTTGGGATAACATGGAACCTATTTGTCCATCTCAGCTGTTCCAGCCTCTAAACTAAATTAAAATAATTAAAAAATAAAAATAAATAAATCTTAAAGCCAGCCATTTCCATTCATATAGTTATCAAACTTTTTCTTAAACTCACTTAAATTTACTGCCTCTACAACATCTG